CCAGTTGGAGTATGCGCCGTACTCTTTAGGGAGTTCGGCTTCAGTCCATTCGGCGATGAAGTCGGCCAAAACCTGCGACTTAATAGCTCGCCTTGGTTTGTAGGTTATGTCGAACGGGAGGAGCTCGATGGCCCATTTGGCAATCCGGCCCGTTGCGTCGTGGTTGTTTATAATATCATTAAGGGGTACTTCGGATGCCACTGTTATGGAGCACTCTTGAAAGTAGTGTCACAGCTTCCGGGATGCCATGAACACCGCGTACGCTATCTTTTGATAATGCAGGTACCGTGACTTGCATGGAGTTAGTACAGTGGACACGTAGTACACTGGTTTTTGGAGGGGGAACTTGTGTCCGTCCGCTTCTCATTCGACGACGAGCACCACGCTTACAACTTGATGGGTTGTCGCGATGTATAATAGCATTGGTTCGCCGGTGTTGGGCGCGGCCAGGACCGGATTTGTTGCCAGTATGGCTTTTATTTCTTCGAGTCCGGCCGTGGCGGCATCCGTCCACTCGAAGTGGTCGGTGCGCTGCAGGAGGCGATAAAGGGGTAATGCCTTTTCTCCTAAGCGGGAGATAAAGCGGCTTAGAGCCGCCACGCATCCTATCAGTTTTTGTATAAGTTTGAGGTCCTTTGGGGTATCCAATTGTGACAGAGCTCGGATCTTGGCTGGGTTTGCTTCAATTCCTCTACCGGATACGATGAAGCCCAAGAGCTTTCCGGCTGGTACGCCGAAAACGCATTTTTCCGGGTTGAGCTTAATGTCATATGTTCGGAGATTGTCGAACGTGAGCCTCAAGTCGTCTACTAGAGTATCGACGTGTTTTGTTTTGACGACCACGTCATCTACATATGCTTCAACTGTTTTGCCGATCTGGTTGGCCAGACATGTCTGAATCATGCGCTGATATGTTGTGCCGGCGTTTTTGAGCCCGAAGGGCATCGTGTTGAAGCAGAATGGGCCGTATGGGGTGATGAATGCTGTTGCGGCTTGGTCTGACTCTGCCATCTTGATTTGATGGTAGCCATAGTATGCATCGAGGAAACACAATGAGTCGTGTCCTGCGGTGGCGTCGATGATTTGATCAATTCGGGGGAGTGGGAAAGGGTCTTTTGGATAGGCCTTGTTTAGGTCTTTGAAATCGACACATAGGCGCCAAGTTTTGTCCTTCTTTGGTACCATCACCAGGTTTGCTAGCCAGTCCGGATGTTTTATGTCTCTGATGAATCCGGCCTCCAGCAGTTTTGCTAGCTCCTCTCCCATGGCTTGTCTCTTGGGTTCAGAAAAACGCCGTAGAGTCTGCTTGACGGGTTTAAACCCTTTTAGGATATTCAGGCTGTGCTCGGCTAGTCTGCATGGGATTCCTGGCATATCTGAGGGGTGCCAGGCGAAAATGTCCCAATTTTCTCGCAGGAAGTCTCTGAGTGCGGCGTCTACATCGGGTTTTAGCTGTGCCCCGATGGAGGCCGTTTTTGTAGGGTCCGTTGGATGGACTTAGAATTTGACTATTTCGTCCGTTGGTTTAAAAGAGGTGGACTTTGATCTCTTGTCTAGTATCACATCGTCCCTGTCCACCTTAGAGCGCAACACAGTTAATTCCTCGGCCGCTAGGGCCTCGGATAATGCCTCCAGGGCCAGTGCGGCTGTCTTGTTTTCAGCGCGGAGCGCTATGTCCGGATCACTTACGAGAGTGATGATTCCGTTGGGTCCGGGCATTTTGAGCTTCATGTACCTGTAATGGGGTATGGCTTGGAAAATTGTAAATGCTTCTCGCCCTAGCAGAGCATGGTATCCACTGCTGAACGGGGCCACTTGAAACGTGACCTCCTCGGATCTGTAATTATCCGGCATGCCGAACACCACGTCCAGTGTGATTTTTCCTGAACAGCACACTTCCCGGCTTGGAATTATTCCCCTAAAAGTTGTGTTGCTTCGCTCAATGCGGCTCCAGTCAATTTCCATTTTTCGCAGGGTTTCCTCGTAGATGAGGTTGAGTCTGCTTCCGCCGTCCATGAGTACCTTTGTAAGTCGGAAGCCGTCCACTATCGGACTGAGGACCAGTGCGGCTGGTGCTCGGGCTGTCCGGAATTTAGGTTCATCACTGGCATTAAAGGTGATAGCCGTGTCATTCCATGGGTTTATTGTTGCTACTTGGTAGACTTCGGCAAGGTTGCGGAGCGTTCGTTTCCTTGCATTGTTTGATGTGAAGGTCTCGAAGACTGTCGACACCGTACTGGGGAGGTATTCTTCGGGTGCTGGAGTTAAAAGCTCCTCGTCGCTTCGGGCCACCTGCCGTAGTATCCAACATGCTCTAAGGCTGTGCGTTGGTGTGGCTTCCCCTGAATTATGAATTTTACAGGGTCCATTGAGCCATCCTTCCAGTACGGTCCTGTACCCTGTAGAGGGTTTTTGTTTTTTGATGTTTGGCTCAGATGCCTGGTGATAATGCACCCTTTTGTTTCGGACTCGTGTTGTATTCGGGGCCGGATTGTCCCAGAATTTATCTTCGATTTTCCGAACGCTTTCAGTCGCACAGTACTTTCGTACTATGGATGTCAAGTCGGCGAATCATGTAATTTTGCGGCGACTTATGGCGTTGAGGATTCCGATGTCCGTGCAGTTGTTACAGAAGAGTGAGATTGCTTCTTTCTCGCGGCAGTCCTTTATCCTGTTCATAACCAGGAGGAATCTGGCTCAGTAGTGGTGTATTGTTTCTCCGGGCTCTTGCCGTATTAGGGATAAATCCCTCATTGTTGGGTGGGCGGGTGGAATTAAATCCGAAACCTTGCCCGATGTAAGATTCAGGGGCCAAGCGTTTTCCGAATTCAGAAGCCGGCTTTCTTGGACATTATTCAATGAATCAGGCCTGCTGCCTGACTTTAGGTTCAGGGTTTGCGCGACATCCTCCCCTCCGCGGGTGTCCGGCATGGAGGGATCGGGAATCCGGACACATCTGGTCCTTAGGGCGGGTGGAGACCCGCCGCATTGTTTTCCACCACTTCAACGTGATGGGTGACCTGGGGAGAGTCGATCTCTCTCTGATCGGGTTTAAGCCCAATCTGGTCGTAATTAGTAGCGACTCCCAGGGCCGCGATGCGATCCAAGAGCTCGTTCAGGGAGAAGAGCTCCATCGGATCTAACTGCTCGGCAAGCTCCAAGCTGATGTGAAGATTGCTTTCGATGACCCGAGAGGTCATCGTCGGCGCGGCGGCCGGACAGGCGGTCATCAAAAACCTGCCTAGCCGGAGAGTTTGGCCGACAGCCAAAGCTCCTTTAGCAACGACGCCGTCTTTAAAGACGGGATGCGGCATCCTTCCTGATGGTGACGACACAGTGGAACTCTCAATGAAAGCACCAATGTCGGTGTCAAAACCGGCGGATCTCGGATAGGGGGTCCCGAACTGTGCGTCTAGGCGGATGGTAACAGGAGACAAGGGACACGATGTTTTTACCCAGGTTCGGGCCCTCTCGATGGAGGTAAAACCCTACTCCTGCTTGATTAATATTGATGATATGGGTAGTACAAGAGTCGATCTACCATGAGATCGGAGTGGCTAAACCCTAGAAGCTAGCCTATGGTATAATTGTTGTTCGTCCTACGGACTAAAACTCTCCGGTTTATATAGACACCGGAGAGGGCTAGGGTTACACAGAGTCGGTTACAATGGGAGGGGATCTTCATATCGTATCGCCAAGCTTGCCTTCCACGCCAAGGAAAGTCCCATCTGGACACGGGTCGAAGTCTTCAATCTTGTATCTTCGTAGTCCAGGAGTCCGGCCAAAGGTCTTAGTCCGGCCATCCGGACACCCCCTAATCCAGGACTCCCTCAGTCGGGTCGGGACGAGCTCTTTGAAAAAAATGGGTTCAAATAGTGCTGTTTTCTCAAAGTTAGTTTCACAACTAATTCTTTTTGTCACGGCCTCCTCGAATGTACAAACACCACAAAAAATTTCAGGCACATCACGCATTCGAGCATCTTAGATGGAAAAAGAATATATGTTTTGAATTAATTTTCAATTATATTTAATTTACTGTTCATGACACAAATCACCACACTCGAGATTGGGAGTCCCATTTTTTTTACAGACATTTTGGAACAGTTTTTTTTAGCCCAATTCATGTTATACCAGTTTTTCTATATGGGAAATGAGACTTGTTGAGGATGCTCTTGTACGTCGTTAAGTGCTGTAGAGACACGGTAGTGACTACGACTACTTTTTCGTGGGAAAAAACTTTCAATCTATTCATTTTTAATCATGGTAGTACAACGAACACCAGAAATAATAGAAATTACATCTACTATGCTTATGTTCATAATTACCTCCGTATCATCCAATGCGATAGTTTAGACAACATTGATTTCGGTCTCAATAAAAACTCCCTTCTCATCCCTTAATAATGCTGCTGATGTGATCACAATAGAGGCGATGGCATTGTGCGATGGATTTATATTGGCAAATTCTCTTGGATTCAACCGGGTAGAAGCGGTATCTGATTCTCAAATTGTTGTTGAATTCACCTCCGGACAGTCAAGATGGTGGAATGCGGCTTCGGCGATTTCCACATAATGCATGGACGTTTCTTCGTTGATTGGAAGGTCAACTTTAAACACTGTTTTCAGTCAGCTAATAAAGCGGCACATGTGCTGGCTAAATTTTCTTATTTTATTGTAATAAGACTTTGTAATGAGCCCTTGACTGTATTTTTAGTGTGTTTGTGAACAATGTACTCCTCGTTTCTTCTTAATATAAAGCTGGCCATGATGGTCTTTTTTCTTAAATAATAAACATTGGTTTCAGTCTACCCGCAAAAGAAAAAAAAATGGTTTCAGTCAGATAATGTCACGTTTTTTTAGGGAAAAAGTGGCACGTTTTCTTGCATGTCGGCCTGGTGGCCGATTTTTTCGTCGGCTTCTTGGGCCGTCAGAGCCCACACAATAGTCACTGCCTCCTTTAGCTGAAACGAAACCCTCATTCCTCCTGTGTGCGGGTGCGCCATGGCCTCACCGCAGCAGCCGCCGCCGGCGAAGAAACCCCCACCACTCTCGCCGACAACCATAAGCGCCCTCGACCTAGACACCCTCCGCGAAATCTTCCTCTGCCTCCCCTCTCTCCCGAGCCTCGTCCGCGCCGCCCTCAGCTGCCGCACCTTCCTCGACGCCGTCCGTTCGTCCCCCGCTTTCCGCCGCCGCTTCCGCGCGCTCCATCCACCCCCGCTGCTAGGTCATTTCCTCACCACCCAAGACACCACCATCCCCACCTTCGTGCCTCTCCGCAGCCGCTCCGACCCGGACATCGCGGCGGCGGTACGCGGCGGCGATTTCTTCCTCACCCGCCTCCCGGTCCCCGAAGACGGCGCCGTGTCCGTTCCTGTCCCCGCCCCCGCCCTCGAAGACAACGGCGATGGCGTGTCTGTTCCTGTCCCCGCCCCCGCCCCCGAAGACAACGGAGATGGCGTGTCCGTTCCTGTCCCCGCACCCGCACCCGAAGACGACGGCGAGGATACCGTCTCTGGCTCCGAAGACAACGACGAGGATCCCGTCCCCGAGTGGTCAATCGAGGACTGCCGCGACGGATTCGTTGTTCTCGACAACTGGAGCACTCAGCAGATCGCCGTCTACAACCCGCTCGCGCGAACCCTGGACCTCTTCCCCCTGCCGCCCCGCCGGGAGGACTGCGAGGGCCAGTATTCTGATTACTACATCCTCGCCGAGGAAGAAGAAGAAGACTACTTGCCGTATCGCGTCGTGTGCGTCTGGCACAGCGAACGCGGGGCGCGCGCCATGGTTTTATCATCGGACACCAGCAAGTGGCAGATTTTCCCATGGGTAGACATTGATGGGCTCTGGCCTCAAACTGCTAAGCTGGTGAATGGCTGCATCTATTGGACCATTGGGATGAATGATGCCCGTGTGCTTAACACTGCTACAATGCAATTCTCTCGGATGGATAAGCCGCCGCGCAGGAGAGGGAATGAGATATTGACGGCTGGTAAGACCAAGGATGGAAGACTCTGTGTGGTCTGCGCACCTTTGGGGCCACTGACATTCGAATCCGTGCTTGCTGTTTGGATTCGTAGAGCCGATGACGATGGCGTCGAGAGGTGGATGTTGGATAAGTCACTCCCGTTGCAGGAGATAGCTGGAATCGTTCGGTGCGAATTCAAGGAAGACAATGTTAAATATCAAGTGACTGTTAGGACGATTATCGATGGATTTGTGTACTTCTCTGCTTATTGTGGGGTGTGGCAGCATCATCATTCGACACTCTGGCTCCTATCCTTCTGCTTGGAAACAGCGGCGCTGAACAAGCTTGGGCGTATCCTTAGTGGTGTTTCCTATCCCTACATCATGCCGTGGCCTTGTTCTTTGGTTGGTACACAGCAAGGTGACTAAGCCCTCGGCTCAAGGTTGATTGACTAGGAGGATCAAATTTTGTTACTAAGCTTTATTTATCTTGAAGTTATGAACTGTTGTCTTGCCATGATAATTTGATTTACTCGTCTGAAAAAGAATAAATCAAGATGCCGAGGTTCTGTTGAGAATTGTCAATCATTTGCATACCTTTGAACATACTAGCAATCATACTCCTACTCTATGCATACTGGAAATGTCTATAAGATATTTTCAAATTATCTTCAAGAAATAAAAGGAGTAATTTGCTAGAGATTCCCTCAGAGTAGCTACAGATATCATATGAGAATGTAACAAGTTTCATATATCCAAATAGCTAGAGATATTTTGTGGTGATCAGTAAGATATCTACATTATCAAATGGAACTAACTTGTTTCTCATTTTACTTCTGTTAGCAAGGTTATATAAGTTCTCTTGTTTATCATGCACATACATTTAAACAGAGACATCAAATAGCTGGCTGTGCTATGTAGAATGTGGTTTGTAGTGTAATTCTTTTTGCAGGTGCTCATCATTTGTTTTCATATAAAGGTTTGTAGTTTGATTTTTATGAGGCATATTGGTCCTAGCAATATATCACTAACACGCTCTGTACTAGTAGACAATATATTAGCTAGATTTCTCTTGGCATTACTATCTCAAGTTTGTGTGCCTCGTTAGGATTACATCTTTGTGATGCACCTGGGCTGTTCGGAGTATATGTTATCTTTATACTTTTCATGATTGCATCGTGTCACAAACAGACCCGGAGATCAGGAAAGATGGTCAGCTATTTCTGCAGCACTTTACAAGTTATACAATGTCATCTCCCGTTGTCATTTCTTCTTTTTAGATAAAACAACCTACACATACATTCCATTTGGTGAGGCTGAGGACATATCTTAAAATAGATTTTGAGCTATATCGCCTAGACTTTTCTTAGCTATAGCTGATACTACTATCTTTGTCATCTCTGGGAGTAAAATCAATACTCTGCCACGTGCACCAAGCTTCAAATATCTACTGAGTTCAATGTTATGCAAATCAAGATGTAGCTGCCCTCCTGCACAAGTATCTTTAGCTAAAATTTTCTTTTATGGCCTTGTTATATATCTTGAAATGATAGCAACCTAGAGCAACTCCAGGTTTATCAGGCAGGGTGAGGAACTGAGAACTAATTCTCTGATTTAGCAGCCAGTAGAGAGTAAAAGTCATTTTTTGTCTCTTTTTGTAAAACCATCTAATCCAACATGGGCTGATCGAATTGATATCTCTGTTTTACAGCAAACCAGCTTATCCAGTTAAAGACACACAATTCTCTTCTGTGATCTTGAATTGAACTGATGTCTGCTAATTAAGCTGCGTCACTGGGCTCCTCAGGCAAAGGTGCAGAAGAAGAAACATGTGTGCCGTTTGTAATGGCAACATGGTTGGTTCAAACTAAGGATCTTGACTGGGGAATAAAGAAGCGGGGCAGCAAGTTTGCAAGCAGGGCTTCATCAATGTGCTGAAATTGTTGGTTCACATGCAGAATCTATACTATCTGCAGTTAGAACTTGCAATGTCCTGTCCGAACTTCCGTAGAGCTCTCAAGGTGTGGATCTAATGTCTGTCAGTCTATGGAATGAAACACTGAACGACCAGCCGTTCATGTATTGAAACAGTTTCGGTACAGCAATTAGAGAAGAAACAATCAGAATTTGCCATTGTCGTCATTCTTTCCTGCCACACGGCTCGTACCTATGTGTGGAATTTTCTCATGTGTTTCTATGTGAAACAGAGCGAATGTGAATTTGATATACACACACCGGAAGACAAATACGTAGCAATATCCTTCAGATTGATGCAAACAAAAATAACCTATAGTGGTGCCGAGAGATTCCATTGCTGGACAAGACATTCCATTGCAGGAGATTGCTGGTGTGGCCTCGTTTTAAAACATTTTCTTTTTGAGATGGGTGGCCTCATTCTGTGCTGCACAACAAGGTGAACCCTTGTCCCTAAAGAAAAAAACCAAGGTGAATAACTTCTTTGCTTGCCCTGTTCGGGCTATGTAAATAACTTCTCATTGCCTATCTATTCAAAGCTTTTGCATTTTCTCGAAAAACAGTAAGGTAGGAAGAAAACTAGAACTGGGAATTTCTTTTTGTACTTCTTTTTCTTAGTTATTAGCTGTCTTTTTCTTAGTTATTGCCTATCTATGATTTTAGTACAAATGTGATCCTGGTTAGATTTATTCATCAAAAGAAAAGAAAAATCAAGATGTTGATGTGTTGTTGATGATTGCTGGCCATCTATGCACATTTGAACATACTAATAGTAAGGGAAACACTTGTGTTCACCCGGCTGATTTCTCCCCACGCGTCGGCCGCCTCCGTGGCCGTAGGATCTGTTCTTTTTTTTTGTGAGAAAACTTTCAATCTATTCATCTTCTATCATGGAAGTATAACGAACACTAGAAATAATAAAAATTACATCCAGATCCGTAGACTACCTAGCGACGACTACAATCACTGAAGCGAGCCGAAGACGCGCCGTCGTCATCACCCCCGCTCGCCGGAGTCGGGCACAACTTGTTGTAGTAGACAGTCGGGAAGTCGTCGTGCTAAGGCCCCGTAGAACCAACGCACCAGAACAGCAACCGTCGCTGATGGAGAATAACGTAGATCGAAAGGATCCAACCTGAAGACACACGAACATAGACGAACCACAACCAGATCCGAGCAAATTCATCGAGGATAGATCCGCCGGAGACACACCTTCACACACCCACCAACGATGCTAGACGCATCACCGGAATGGGGACTAAGCGGGGAGACCTTTATTCCATCTTCAGGGAGCCGCCGCCGTCTCGTCTTCCTAAATAGGACACAAACCCTAACAAATCTTGAAGAAACGACTAACAACGGAGCCCTCCCGCCGACCCTTGCCAGGATCCACCGCGCCCCCATGGTCCTAGGGCCACCAGAGACGAGGCGGACCTGCGGCGGAGCCGACGAGAGGCACGAACCCTAGCTTTTCTTGGAGGAGGAGGCGACGGCTGGAAAGAGGTATATAACGCGATGTATCCGTCCGTAGGATCTGTTCTTGATCGGACGGTCGGGAGCCAACCTCTACCCAGTCCACTTTTTCTGCAACTCGTCCCCTGTTTCAGACTGCTCGAGTGCAACTCGTCCCCTGTTGGAGGCCAACCAGGCTCAGCGAGTTGCCTGGCCCCATCAAGTACACATGCTACTTCACGAGGCTTCTTCCTTATCCATCCAACCACATCTCCTTTTTCTCGGTTCCTCTAGGGCGTGTTTGGTTGCCCGCATGCAGTCCAACCAGGCTCGCGAGGGATGTGCGCGGCCTGTTTGGTTGGCTAGGTTGCATGCGGTTTGAGGCCCGCACGAACCTCAAAGCAGCCCGCGCGGAGAAGTTGCACGCCTGGGGCAGCGCGGGAGACGGAGGCGACGTCTCATTACTCGCCCCCACTCTCCTGTCACCGCCCAGGCGCACTGTTCCCACCGCTCCCTCTCTCTCCCTCATCGCCCCTCCCTCTCCTCTCCTTTGCTCTGATGGCTCCGCCACACCCACTGCCGCGCCGCCCTTAGACCCTGGTCGACCAGCGCATCGCCAGCATCCAGGAGCGCTGGCTGGCCGGGCTCCAGAACTCGGGCTGCGACCTGGCGTCGGCGCTGCGAGTGCCGTCCCCCATCTGCTGCCGGCCTCCTCCATGAGCGCCGGCCAATGCGGTACCGGCCGCTCTTGCTCCGCCGCCGATTCCAGACCTTCTGGTCCTGGGCTCGGCGCCGGCGCCATCGACGGAGCCGCCCCTTCTCGGGACACCATTGGGCTCGGGGGTTTTCTTGACCCCCGTCCAAGGGTTTTCTCCGGTCGGCGGGCCGTCCTTCTCGACCTCCGGCGTGGCGTTTAGCACGGGGCCGATGCCGCAGGCCGTCGCCGGGGCCGACTCGTCCTATGCTCCGCCACCTCTATCGTTCCCGGCCTCGGTTCGCCGCAGCTGCGCGTGCTCCGGTGAGTCAAATCCCCTCAAATCTTGCTCCTAGATGTAGATTAGCGGTTAATGTCTTAGGCATGTGCTAGGATTGATATGATTCTAGCAGATCCGATTGGATGCGATCCCAATCGAATCCAATCGAACTGATCTGTTCTTGTTTTGTACAGTGTGTGTGCTATTGCTTGTGTTCATGCTAGAATGCTAGTAGCTGTGTTACATGCTAGATTCATGTTCATGCTAGAATCCTAGAATCATGCTAGTCTGAGTCCTACTACATGCTAGATTTGCGCTACATGCTAGTAGCTGTGTTCATGCTAGAATCATGTTCATGTTGAGTGATAAATGCTAGAATCATGTTGACTGATGGCATGTTCATGTTAGGATCATGTCCTTGTTTCATGTTGCATGTTGAAGCTAGGGTTTGTGCCATGAGTGGATGTTATACGTGCATGTTGTAGGACCATTTTAGGATGGTCCCGAATCTGTATGGCTGCACATGGGTGCTATTGGCACTTGCTGTTGCTATTTTTAGATGTTTCCTTGTTTAGGATAGTGCAGTGATCAGTGCCAGTTGCAGCAAAGAAGATGCCACTGATCAGTGACTTGCCCAACAACAAGTGTCATTGATAAGTGGCATTTGCCTAGGCAAATGCCACTTATCAATGGCACTTGCTGTTGGGCAAAATGGCACTTATCAACGGCACTTGCTATTGGGCAAGTCACTGATCAGTGTCATTGATCAGTGCCATTTGCACTACAACAAGTAGATTAGTGCTCTTGCCCAACACCAAGTGCCACTGATCATTGCCATTTGGCCATGAGCACATGCCACTGACCAGTGGCACTGATCAGTGGCACTTGCTGTTGGGCATTCTAGCATTCATCACTGATCAATGGCACTGATCAGTGGCATTTGCTTGCTTGTTTGTTTGTTTGCTTGCTTGCTTTGTTTGATACTAATACTTGTCATGTTGCCTGACAAGATACTGAAGACTGACTGGGACGTGGCGGGTGGAGGAGCTCAGGTCATGGCCGGAGCTGAGCGCGCCGAGGATTTCATCCCCACGAACAGGTGGCTCATGACGGTGGACCTGCCTGGCAGGATCGCCTTCATGAGCGTGCTTCGTTCAAGGGGACGATCTCCGAGGCAGGGCCACGAGGAGGGAGCCAGGGAGCCGATGAGATTCTACCAGCAGATCAAGGACAGCGAGGACCTCGCCATGCTCGTCGTCCCACCCAAGTTCATGGAGGTGATGAACACCTGGCTGGTGATCAAGCGACTCCCGTGTGTGGTCAGGCTCTCGGCCAACAAGCGGTGTGTGTTCTGGGTGCAGGTCCAGAACTTCGAGGGCCACATGGTGCTTGGCCAGGGGTGGAACTACTTCTGCCGCCGCCACCGCATCGTCCCTGGCGACCTCGTCGTTGTGCGCATCTCCGGACTCGGACTGAAGGCTCAGATCTACAACCGCGACTCGTCGGTGATGTGCAGGTACCGTTGCAGCAGGCACAACTGCCTTGGTGGCATCGAGCAGGCTATGTAGTTAAGTTAAGTTAGGTGTTAGTGGAGAACTTTTAGGGTGTGTGGCGAGACTTGTGCTGGGAACTTGTTCATATTTTGGCCAGGAGTAGCACCCTGGCACAGCAGGGAAGGAGGATGCCCTGCTTTTAATCTAGACTTATGCTATCTAGTTAAGTAGTTTGCTGTGTTAAGTTTGCTGTCATTACATTGCTTGCTTTGTTTGATCTTGCTGTTGTGATGTTGCTGTTGTGCTGATCATGTGTGGTGGTAAGGCCACCACATTTGAATGGGGTGAGCAGAACACAAACGCTATTTGCAACCAAACAGCTGAAGTTTGCATCTGCTCACACCCTAAGCACAAATGTGGGCAACCAAACAGCAGGGGGGTAAGTGCCTCTCGATGCGATGAAGGCAATCAAACAAGTTGCATCTGCTGCATATGAGGCTGTTTTTCAGCAACCAGGTTGGCTAGAGATGGACATGCAATGCAACTCCTGTTGCAAACTGCAACCAAACACGCCCCTAACATCTATCTATCCTTCACCCGCAAAAAAATCTCTCTATCCTTCATGAAGCTCCATGGACGAAGAGGCCCATGGTGATGGAGGTCGGCTGGAGCTTGAGGCTGCAGGTGAGCGGGCATACGGGAAGGGTCGTTCGCTTGCGTGCTATGGTGGTGCGACTGCAATGCAAGGACAATGCCTAAAGTTGGGTGGCCATGGCAGACTACCGGGACGGAGAGGAAGGAGCCGGTGGGGTGTGGGGCAATGACGGCGTGGCCCGTCGAGGCCCATTGCTACAAGCCGACC